TGCAGTTGAAGGTGGTGGGGCTCTTTAAAAGCTCCAGCTTTCAGATTGCGAAGAGCACCGCCGAGGTAATAGCAGATAAACCCCAAAGTTTCGTTGGGGTCGACCCTCCCCGGTCTCGGCGGCGTGGACCGCGCGCCCGGCACTTGCAGGTGGTGGCGGGATCGATGTCTACCCAGCAGAGGGGCTGGTGTGTCCGGGCTGGGTGGGCTCTGGCTGGGTAGGGGGCAGGTGCTGGCGTTCCAGAAGGGCGCCCTTTCAAGGGAGCTCCGAGGGAAGGAGAGGGGTTCAGAACCTTGCTGGGAAAAAAGACATTTACCTCCCGCCCCCCCCCCGCACTCATAAATCCGCACGTTATATCACATCAAATTGTCATTGAATTATAGATTTTAAAATGTATTAAATAAATGATTACCATGTAACTACAGGATTTTTACAAGGTGCCCTCCCCAAGTGATTTTTGAAAACTTTATTCAGAAAGATTCTTTTCTTCCGAATTTTATGTAGCAGTCACTGCATTCCAATCGAATTAGGTACTTCATGGATTTCTTTCTTATTTTTTTAGTTGTTTTTTTTTTTTAATCTCACCCTGTCGCCCAGGCTGGACTGCAGTGGCACGCTCACGGCCATGGCAGCCTCAACCTGTTGGCTCAGGTGATCCTTCTACCTCAGCCTTCCAAGTAGCTGGAACCACAGGTGCCGGCCACCACACTCAGCTAATTTTTTTATTCATTTTAGAGACGAGGCCTTGCCAAGTTGCTGGTCTGGAACCCCTGAGCTCAGGGAATACTCTGGCCTCTCAAAGTGTTGGGATTACAGGCGTGAGCCACCTTGCCTGGCTTCATGGATTTCTTAATAATGGCCCACAAGTGCTTTGGAGATAATTTCTTTGTAAACACTCAGAATGATATAAAGGGAAAAACACTTGAAGAACACGGAAGAAAGTGACCAGTTCAGTCATTGCTGCAGCACACTTAACAACTGGAATGCAGGAGAAATATATGAAATACTGGAATATGGCTCAGCTTTGGAGTTTGCTGCAGAAAGGCTATCTGTGCTGAGCTACTCTCCAAAACCTCACTAGACTCCAAGACCATGCTTTACTTATGTTTGTATCTTCCAAAGTATCCAGCTGGATTTTTGTCAACAAAATGTTCTCAAATACGAGACATTTTAAGAAATCCCTGCTTTCTTGCCTGCTCCAGAGTCCACAGAGTTAAAGGAAAGTTTTAAACCAGGAAAGTTTTCAAATCAGAAAAATAACTAATTTGCAAAATAAATAGTTGACATCAAGGTAAAGAAAACAAGTGATCATAAGTCTGTGAAAATAATACATAGATCATCAAAAGAAGTAGAAATGTTGATCTGTGTTGGCTGGGCAGGTGGGCTCAGTGACATTTTATGGCCTAAGTTAATGGCCATAAACTTAATCACAAGGTTAACATTTAATGGACTCAGGGAATTTTTTTTCTTGTTTTTTTTTAGCTCCTTTTCTGAAGACACATGTTTTCTGTGCCTACTCCACACTGTAAAGAAAGTATTGGCAAATTTTTTTCTGTAAAGTCTAGGTAGTAAATATATGTTTTAGGTCTTCTGGACCATAGGTTCTCAGTCACAACTACTCAACTTTACTCTTGTGTAGCAAAAGCAGACATAGACATGTAAAGATTGATGGTGTTCTAGTAAAACTTTATTACAGACACTGAATTTGACTTGCATATAATTTTCACATGACATGAAGTAGGAATTTTCTTTTGATTTCTTAAGCCATTGACAAATTTACATTTACAGGTTTGGCCCACTGCCAATTTCACCAATCCCTGCTATAGAGCTCACTAGATAGAGAAAACAATATCTAGTTATATTAATAATGTTAACTTTCCCTTGTTTAAGCTTTTTTGTCTACTGTAGCTCTATTCAAGTATGAAAATTCATTTAGTTCTGTCTTAATAAAAGATATTTGAGTATATTTCCAACATGATAATTTGTGAGCAACCACAGCTGACTGATGAACAAAGATTTAGGTTTGCATTGAATGTTCCCAACACAAAGAAATGATAAATGTTTGAGACAATGGATATGCTAATTACCCTGATCTAATCACTATATTTTATATATATTGAGGCATCACTATGTACCCTATAAATATGCACAATTATCATTTAAAACAAAATTTAAAAATAAAGCAAGTAAAAAAACAACAAAAAAATTTAGATTTATAAATAAGTATCACATACATTTAAACTTGGATGTAGTCCATTCTAGAACAAATACTAAATTATGAAAAAAGTATATGTTTAATTTTTTAAATTATTATTTTGTTTTAAAAGTTGAGACAGGTCTCACTATGTTGCCTAGGCTGGTCTTGAATTCTTAAACTCAAGTCATCCTCCTACCTCGGCCTCCCAGAGTACTGGGATTATAGGCGTGAGCCGTTGTGCTCAGCCGATATGTTTAATTTGAAAATTATTGGGCTTAACTAATTATTCCAGATGGTTCCTCAGAAATAGTAGTGAACCTGCAGGATTGCCTCAGACTAAGCACAGACGCTAGAACTGAGACACGGGACATGCCATCTGCTGGTTGGGTGCAAGTAGTCCAAGGAGGAAATGGCCCAATTGCTGTTGCCCTCTTTGAGTTCCCAAAGTAGGATACAATCACACCCTGGCTTTCGCCCCCGTGGAATGCTCACCCCTGATAAAGCGTGCCAGACCTGACCCTCTTTGAGACCTCAGCAGGGCCTCCGAGCACTGCCCCTAGCAGAGAAGGTTCCATCTGCAGCCGCTAACTCACTTTTCCCTGCTGGCCTGTCTACTTTTCATACCCACTTGGGAAAGTGAGGCCTGTTACTGCTTCAACTGCTTTCTCTTGCTTTGGAGGAAGGCTGAGTCTACCAATATCAAGACCCAAAACTTTGGGGTTTTTTTTGACAAGTACTGCAAACCAGTAAGCGTTTTCTCTGATTCCCATGACCAAAAAATGTATGTGAAACCAAAACATACTCGATATCTGAACCTGAACGTACTTTGTATTTACTTCTCTTTGTCCTAAGGGGTATCGCCACAACAATATCCTTTTTGGTCATTCTCCATACATCAGTGACTTAAAGCAATAGCATTTATTTATTTTAGTTACATGTGAAAGTATCTGTAAGCCCACTGACGTTTAGCAAGAGTTTAACATAGGGAAAAACTAGTCCTAAAAGAACACAGCAGCTCCCAAAACCATGGGCATAAACTCATTTATTTATTCACTTGTTATGTGAGGATGATCTGCTCTGTGCCAGAGGTGGTAACAGGTAGAAATAGGAAGACTAAGACATAGTTCTTAGCCTCAAGAGGCTAATACTTCAGAGTTGAGAGACAGATATGCCAGAGCCCCAGTGTGGACATGGGAGCAATTTGGAGGTGAGCACAGGGGCTTCTGGCAGCAAGCAACACTGTGTGGCCTGGGTGTGTGTTGTATAAAACTTCTGGAGATTCATTAAACTTGGGGGAAATGATTTCGCTTTTATTTTATTCACTTATTTATTTTTTGAACCGGGATCTTATTTTGTCTCCCAGGCTGAAGTGTAGTGGCATGATCATGGCTCATCACACCCTCGACCTCATGGACTCAGGTGATCCTCCCACCTCAGCCTCCCGAGTAGCTGGGACTACAGATGCACACTACTACATCTGGCTAATTTTTTAAAACTTGTTTTGTAGAGACAAAGCCTCACTGTGTTGCCTAGGCTGGTCTTGAACTACTGCTTCAAGCAATCCTTCCACCTTGGCCTCCCTAAGTGCTGGGATGACTGTGTCCGACCTGATTTTGGTTTTAAAAGAGAACTTATACCGGGTGCTGTGGCTCAAGCCTGTAATCCAGCATTTTGGGAGGCCAAGGTGAGAGGATTGTGTGAGCCCGGGCAACTTGGTGAGACCTCATCTCTACTATAAATCAAGAAAAATTAACCAGTCATGGTGGCACATGCCTGTGGTTCCAGCTACTTGGAAGGCTGAGGCAGAAGGATCACCTGAGCCCAGCAGGTCCAGGCTGCAGTGGCCGTGAGCATGTCACTGCACTCCAGCCTGGGCAAGAGAGGGAGACTACAACTCAAAAAAAAAAAAGAGAACTTACTCTAAAATAATGATTCTGTTTTGAAACCTAGAGTCTGAAGAATCATCATCCATCCAAATTTGAAGATCCTATAATAGTTCCTCTTCAAGAATTTGCATGGAATCAATATCTACAGGAGAAAAAAAGGGTAAAGGCTATTTGGGGTGTGGGGACAGAGACGGCAAACAAAGCTTTGCCTGAATTATTCATCAACTGAAAGGGTGATTGTAGTGCAACTAGTTTTTATTTCTCTACAGTATGTACTTTTCCTATATTATGTGAATCATTTACCAAGCTTTTTTTTTTAAAGTAAAACATTTGCAGGATGTTCCTTAGGAAAGCAGGTGATCAGGGTAAGTTTTGGATGCTCAGTGGTGCTGTTTACTCTTGCTGCTGTTCATGGACTCGGGTGAATGTGGCCTGGCCCGCCTCGGCCCCTACGCTGGAAGGTGTTGGTGGTGACGTCCAGGGATAGCAGGGGGCGTGGGAGACTGTGGCCCAGGGGAGCTCTGGAACAGGCACCAAGTTCCCACGGAAGGAAGTTCAAGCTTCCTTCTTTACATCCCCCCAACAATACCCTGGGGGGAACGCCACTCCTCAGGGCTAGCAGAGCTTGACCAGGGATGACACCCTATCCATCGGTAGTGCTGTCTAGAAGGCGCGGTACACAGGGTCTAAGGTGACCTCCTGCCTCAGCTTGTCTCGTGGTGGGGAGGGTGGAGGGGGACACACCTCCTGCTTTGTCCCCTCTGGCCTAGTCTTGGAGAAGGTCCCAGGCCTGGTGTCTCCACCCCACCCCACCTCCTCAACGGGTGATGAAATCTCATTTCCCCTGACTGGAGCAGTTTCGATTGTCCTGTGCTTGGTTGTACGAGGATGTCCTGTGATCATGTGATGAAGTGTCATGTAGATAGAGCCCTTCACTATCTATTCAGTCACATGATGGTGCAAGACTGAGTCAAGGTGCCATTTATTAAAGCTCATACTCTCACAGCCATAAAACGTTTTCATTGGAATTCAGATAGAACCAAATACTTTTATGTCGTACTTATTATATTTCTGTATATATGCGTATGTGTATACATAGTATATAAGGTATCAGTCTAGGTTGGCCAGTGGTCTTGGTTTACCTGAGGCTGAGGGGTTTCCTAGGATGTGGGAATTTCAATACTAAACTCAGGCCTAGACAAACCAGGACCGGTGGTTACTCTGACATAAAACAACACATTTTTTTCTTCATTTTTATCATCAGACTTCTTGTAATGCCCACCAGTGGTCTGCTCCCCACCTATGAGAAAACTGTGACTTTCTGCTTTGTGGCTTCACCAGCCCCATTCTCCCTCACCAGCTTAGGTTTTTTCGAGATGGTTTGTGCCCTCTTCCTCCTGTTTTCCCAGGGGTCCTGAATTCATCACGGCTTCTTTCCACCTGCACTTTATTCCTTATCCTTCCTTTCTTTCTTCTTCCACCCTCATCCTCTGGATATTTGTCTCCTTAACCTTTCTTCTCAGGTCAGTTTTTGCCCCTTTTCAATGTAAGCCTTGTGTCTTGTGTTACATGTTGTGCTTCTTAGCACATTTGGTCCCTTGAACCAACTCATTAGGTTCACTGGCCTTCTGCTTCAGCAAAATGTAATGCCACCCTAAAAGGACAGCTTACACACCTTTGGAAAGGCCACTATCTCCCCTCCAAAGAAGGCAGCATCATACGTGCTGGAAAGTAGGTTAGCAGGAGTGGACAGAGACAAGCCATTTACATATTTAGCTTCCAATAAAATGTACTTTCTTTTTTTGGGGGGTTGGAGTATCATTTTATCATCCAGACTGGAGGACAGTGGCACACTCCTGGCCACCACAGCCTCGATCTGCTGGGCTCAGGCAATCATTCCACCTCAGCCTTCCAAGTAACTGGAACTACAGGCATATGCCACCGCGCCCAACTAATTTTGTTTTCTTTTTATTGCAGAGATGAGGTCTCACCAAGTTGCCCAGGCTGGTCTCAGACCTGTGGGCTCAGGCAATCCTCTCAGCTCAGCCTCCTGAAGTACCCAAAGTTCTGGGATTATAGATGTGAGCCACCGTGCCTGGCCAATAAAATGTATTTTCTACTGCATTATTCCCACCAGGCTAGCTAAAATATCCACCATTAGTTTTTTCTCCTCTTTTTAAAGTTTTTAGACCTGCAACATATGATAACACCAATACATTTAAGTACTGCGGAAGTCTGGACCCATAGGCTCTATCAGGGACTTAGAGTTGAGCATGAATAAGTTTATTCTCTGCCTGGAAGCCACTTTTGATAAGGGCGTGGGAAGCAAACAAAAAAGTTATCACATCTCTGAGAGAGGAGCATGGAGCAAGTTCAAGGCACACTGTTGCCCAAGCTAGTATCTCTCCAAGTGCGACCTTCAGACCAGCAACGTTGCATCTCCTGAAATGTTGCTAGAAGTGCACCTTCTTGGGCCCCATCCCGGAATCAGAGCATCAGGTGGGGCTCAGGAATCTGTGCTTCCAGTTGCCCACTGCAGTTTAAGAGTGGCTATCCTACACAATCCATGGTCTGCCTGGGCTGACACTGGATAATAAGCCACACATCCTCAGAGCGGCCATACATTGGAGACTTAGAAGGTTGACTGTCAGTATGGAGTTGATGAAAGTGTGGACACACTTCATTTTGAGGGACTGAGACAAAGTGTTGAGGAAGTGAATTTTTTCCTCTGCCCCTGGCTGCGCCCTGGAAATCCCTGCTGCCCCCAGAGGTGTTCCCTGCCCCCAGGAAGTGTGACCCCCTCCATCCAAAAATATTCTCTCAATCGTTTGTATGGAAAACCATGCCTTCTTCACTAGAACTCCTAATTTGTCTAAGCATGCACACAGTCAAATGTGCTTCAGAAATGAAGACACATACTGCTTGTTTGCAAGTTAATGCAGCAAGCATACTCTGCAAATGGTGATTTTTGTTGCTAGATCACCTCTTGCCTTCTATGATTGTGTTGACCAGAAAGGAAGACGCTGAAGCAGAATTAACATAGAGAGTTTATTTGGGCCGAGGTTGAGGACTGCAGCCGGGACCCACTTCCAAGTAACTTTGGGAATGCTCTGAAGAACAAGAGAGAGGCTCACAGGTTGTTTTGTTTTGTGGGGTTTTTTTGTTTTTTTGTTTTTTGAGTCAAAGTCTCACTCTGTTGCCTAGTCTGGAGTGCAGTGGCACGATCACAGCTTACCACAGCCACAACCTTCTGGGCTCAGGTGATCCTTCTTCAGTCTCCCAAGTAGCTGGGACTATAGGCATGTGCCACCACACCTGGTCCAAGGCTCACATACCTTCAAGAAAAAAGGATGAAACAGGACAGGGGAAGATTACAAAAGTTTTTCATCAGGAATTCTCATTGGTTTACAGAAATAACATTGGGTAATGGCTGGCGATGCATGGTTGATCTACAGGGTATATGGCATTCTATGGCTACTTGGCATCAGTGCAGAGCCCACGTAGCAAGTGGCTTCAAGGGGTAATTATTTAGCCAGGGAGGAGTAAAACTTGACTGCTATTACATTTTAAGTTTCATTCTGGGCCTGATCATTTAAAGGGACTTGTATTCTTCAGATAAAGATTTTTTTCTTTCTCAACTGTAACATTTTCATGATTACGTTTTAGATCATTCTTTCCTTTTAGTGAAGCCAGATTTTTTAAAATGTTCTTAAATTCCTTTTGAGAGCAAAATTCTAAAGGATGGTAAAAAACATGTTTTTTAAAATTCAATTCTAGAGTTGACTGTTCCAAAACCCTAACTTATAGGTTTAGCAAGTTCCCACCCTTACATTTTTTTCTAATCTTTTTTTTTTTTTACAGGAAATCAAGAATGAAACCTGGGAATATTCTTCCTATGTGATGTGTTTTGTGAATGATCAGCTCTTGGGTGATGCATTTGATTTGCAGAAATGGGCCCATAAGGTGTGGGATGTAGTGGATGTTAAACCTTCCGCACTTTACGAGGCACTCACTGTGGATTATTCCACTAAATTCTTGAGAGACACCAAGGCAAGTTACACTAACTTTTAAAGAAAAACAGTGAAATTTAAAAAATCATAGTTAATGATTGAGCATTAATTATTGGTATCTTAACAAAGGAGATTATAAAGGAACAGGTTTTAAGTCCTCAATGACCAAAATTTGTTCCAGCTGCAAAAAAATTACAGCATTGCGAGGTTGGGCTTGGTGGCAGGCAAAACCAGTGTACAAGGGGGGACCCCAAAAAAACCTGGTATTATTTTTAGGAGGGTGGACCTCTTGTAGTACAGGCTTTCCCTGCTAGGTAAGTGTTCTAGGAACCCATTGGCATCAGTGCACCAGCTAGTGTTGTTGTGTGAGGCTGCATTTGGCTTCAGTGAATTTTTTTGTGTCAAACAGGTTCTTCCGTCATAACAATGCACTGGCCCACACCATGCTGAGTGTTTAGCAGTTTTTGACCAAAAACAGCATGGCCCTTGTGCCTCATCTCCTTATTCACCCAATTTAGCCCCAGCGACACTTGTTTTCCTGGAGGGGAAACATTTTGCTGATGTGGAAGAGGTAAAACAAAAAATGGCAGAAGCACTAAAAGGCACCAAAATGGATGAGTTAAAAAATCATTTTGAACAATGGAAAAAGTGTGTCGGTAGGTGAATTGCATCAAATGGAGAGTACTCTGAAGATGATGGAGGTTTATTTTTTTAATTATTTTTTTTTATTTTAAAGTTGTGGAGTACAGGTCAGGACTGGGTACATAAGTGGTTTAGGTACAGGTGAAGCTTTGGGTCTCCCATTGGACCTCACTCCATCTGGATTAGGATCAGGCACCCTTATTGATATTATGTCTGTGCCCTTTCCTCCCCTGGCAGTGTCCCGCTACTGCCAATCCCATTTTTGTAGTATGATAGGTGTTCAGGGTCCACTTATGAGTGAGAACATGTGGCACTCAGTTCTTTGTTTCTGTGATAGGTCACTGAGGTGACTGAAGTTTAAATATGTAAGAGTAAATACACAATTTTTAATAAATAAATTTTGGTTTCTTTTGGGTCCCCTCATATCTCACAGCAAACAGACTGCATAGGGAGAACAGCCCTATTCAAACATTTCTACTCCCCATTAGAGATTTATATGCGTGAATTATTCATTTTAAAATATAAAGGCCCCTCCTCAGAGAAGGTCAAACCTATCACCCATTCATTTTTAGTATGAACTATTTATTTTATTTTATTTCTTTTCAGTTGGAGTCTCATTCTGTCATCCAGGCAGGAGTGCAGCGGTACAATCACAGCCACCACAGCCTCGACCTGCTGGGCATAATCCCAGCACTTTGGGAGGCCAAGGCGAGAGGATTGCCTACACTCAGGGATTTGAGACCAGCCAGGGCAACATAGAGAAACTTCATCTCTACAAAAAAATCAAAAAATGAGTTGGGCATGGTAGTGCACACCGGTAGTTCCAGCTACTCAGGAGGTTGAGGCAGAAAGATTGCCTGAGCCCAGGAAGTCAGAGTTGCCATGAGTTGTGTTCGTCGTGATCATCGTGATCATGCCAGTGCAGCCAACCTGGGTGACAGAGTGAGACCCCAACTCAAAAAAAAAAAAAAGAAAGAAAAGAAAATATATTGGTTATCTCACAACTGAGAGGAAAGCTGGAAAAACAGCTTTAGAAAATAGGCAGGAACCAAGTGAAGCCTGGCAACAGGAAGACATGGCCTGGGTCACGCCACAAAGATGTGTGGCCAGGGTGCTGCCACGGGCACCGCGCCGGCCATTATTCACCTGTTGCCTTCCCTGGGATGACTTCTTAGCTCTCCTGTGTCTTTGTGTCACTTCCTGGAGACCCAAGGCCCAGACAGGAGCGCCTATATGGTAAGCCTAGGTCCCATCCCCACAACTTGACTGTCCCAGGGCAGAGAGGGAGAATCTGATCCCTCAGGTTCTAAAGAGGGTTGTGGGACCCTGGGGGGAGCTCCCCAGATAAGAAGGGCATTCAAATGGTAAGTAAGGAGGAAAAAAAACCCAACAGATCTTAGAGAAAGCTTGGGGTCAGTTGAGGCTTTATTGTCCATTCTGAATGAAGGAGCTGGATTTTATCCAGAAGGAAACTGAGCCAACAGCTTTTCATAAAGAGTAGGACATTGTCCTCTTTACTTTTCAGAAAACATGTTCAGGGCTTCTGCAGAAGCAGGCTGGAGTGGCCGAAGATTGGTAGCAGAGATTTGGGAAGTAGCCCCTAGTAGCAGGGGCTGGAGATCATGAAAGCCTAAGTTCATTAGTGGCAATGAGGACAGAGGGCCTGGGTCTCAGAGACAATCCTTAGATTTTTTGCGCAGAGAGTAGACTCCTCTTACTGAGTAAAACCCAGAGACTTGTTTACTTACGGCTGGAACCATAGGCTAGAGAAGTATGCTTGCCTGTTGACTGCTTGGTGATGGGAACATTACCTTGTGTAGTATTCATTTGATTTGTTTTATTAGCATTTTCAGAATTATCTACTCTTGACAACGCCATAAAAAGGATACATTGATGCACAGGGAAGTTTAATGATGTCTAAATGGACTTAGTCATTTCTTAAGTCAGTCATTATTTCCAATATACCCACTTCTTCCTCCTGAGCTTGTGGAGTCCACTATATTATGCCTCCTATTCTTTAGTTAAAATATTCTTTGTTATTATTATATTTTAGTTGGGATCTCACCCTGTCACCCAGACTATAGTGCAGTGGCATGATCATAGCTCATTGCATCCTCAACCCCCAGAGCTCAGGAGATTGTATCACCTCAGCCTCCCAAGTAGCTGAGACTACAAAGCACATGCCACCACACTCAGCTAATTTTTTGTAGAGATGAAGTCTCCTATGTTGCCCAGGCTGGTCTCGAACTCCTGGGCTCAAGCAATCCTCTTGCCTTGACCTCCCAAAGTGCTGGGATTATAGGTGTGAGCTACCATACCCAGCCGACAGTATTCTTTTTTATAATTAAGAACTTGTAATACAGAAACTATGAGGCACAAATTAATTATGATTTGTATGGATGTAACAGTTTATTGCTGGATGCCAGATAGCACAATATTATTTCAGTATTTTAAATTTTTTTTTTTTTTTTTTTGGAGTTGGAGTCTCATTCTGTCACCCAGACTGGAGTGCAGTGGCCGCTCCCAGCCACCGCAGCCTTGACCTGCCGGGTTCCAGTGATCCTTCCACCTCAACCTTCCGAGTAGCCGGAATTACAGGCATGCACTACCACACCCGGCTGATTTTTTGATTTACTGTAGAGATGAGGTCTCGCTGCCCAGGTGGGTCTTGAACCCGCAGGCTTAGGCAATCCACTCACCTCAGCCTCCCAAAGGCGTGGAATTACAGGCTGAGCCACCGAGCCTGGATAGTATTTTAATTTTTTAAAAAAGGTTAGTGTGGCATAGAATAATAGGATACATTTAAAGTGATTTCATTTGTCCTAGATTCTTTTTTTTTTTTTTTTTTTTTGAGTTGGAGTCTCACTCTGTCACCCAGGCTGGAGGGCAGTGGCACACTCACGGCCACCACAGCCTCGACCTGCTGGTCTCAGGCGATCCTTCTGCCTCAGCCTTTCAAGTAGCAGGAACTACAGGTGCACACAACCACACCTGGTTAATTTTTTGATTTATTTTAGAGACAAGGTCTCGCCAATTTGCCCAGGCTGGTCTCGAACCCCTGGGCTCAGGCAATCCTCTTACCTCCGCCTCCCATAGTGCTGGGATTACAGCTATGAGCCACCGTACCCAGTTGTTTCCTAGTTTCTTAAGAAAGAGGACAGGATAAGTTATGTACCTTGTTATATGCTGTAAGGTAGCATTTTTATGTCAGAGAACAATGCCCAAGATTTGTTTTTTTGTTTGTTTTGTTTTGTTTTGGTTTTTTGAGTCAGAGTCTCACTCTGTCACCCAGGCTAGAGTGCGGTGGCAAGTTCACGGCTGCCTCAGCCTTCCAAGTAGCTGGAACTACAGGTGTGCACTATTACACCTGACTAATTTTTTGATTTATTGTAGAGATGAAGTCTCACCAAGTTTCCCAGGTTGGCCTCAAACCCCTGAGCTCAGGCAACCCTCTCACCTCTGCCACTCAAAGTGCTGGGATTACAGGTTTTTGCCACCGTGCCCGGCCAGATGCCCAAGATTTGAAACATATTGCATGAAACATGCTCTCATCCCTGAATAAACACTACTATAATGAAACTAGTGTTTCCATTTGGGTGCCTCTTTTTAGGGCTAGACAAGGCCTTGCAAATGTTCATCTCTGCCAGAAAGGATGCCAAGTGAAAACGAGCTGGGGGCATCAGTGTACATGAGAATATTGTTGAATATAACTCAAAAGCCTGGTGTCTTTCCCTCCCCAGCCCCTGGTGCCCACCTGCTGTGGATACAGTGGCCTGATTTTCCCAATCTGAAAGGATGTGACCTGCCTCTGTTTAGCTAATCTGTGCTGTCTCTGAAAATCCAGGACACACCTGGTAACCAAACCCATGGCATTCACAGTGGAGATTTTCCAGAACTACTCAGGAAAGAAAAAACAGAGAAGGATCCCAGTCTGTCTCTTTCCCGAGGGGACTGACTGGTGTTCTTCCCACAGCTGGTTTGCATGTAATAGATATATGGGCCATGTGTGCTCAGTCCTGTGTGACAGGTGAATGTTTTTCAAAGCTGTACTATAGAAAGGCTTTTTTTTTTTTGAGTTGGAGTCTCACTCTGTCGCCCAGACTGGAGTGCAGTGGCCACTCCCGGCCACCGCAGCCTCGACCTGCTGGGCTCCGGCGATCCTTTCGCCTCAGCCTTCCGAGTAGCCGGAATTGCAGGCATACGCTACCACGCCCAGCTGATTTTTTGATTTATTGTAGAGATGAGGTCTCGCTGCCCAGGCGGGTCTTGAACCCGCGGGCTCAGGCAATCCACTCACCACAGCCTCCCAAAGGCGCGGGATTACAGGCTGAGCCACTGAGCCCGGCTTAGAAAGCCTTTTAAAATGAGAGCAGGGATGAAAGCATAGGTACCAAAGATTTGATGAAACAAAAGGAAATAAACTTCTTTAAGTCATTCATTTAATTTTACTGTTATATTAGCCACTGGTAATGCTACTGAAAATATTATATCTGTTATATTTTTGATTTGGGTTCATTTCTAAAACGTTCCTTCCTTCCTTTTGAGTTCCTGGCCAGAGGTCTAACACTTTCTTACAAGACATTAACCTGCATTCTCTTTTTTCCTCCCCAATTTGAATAGCATGATTTTGTGTTCTTGGATATTTGTATTGATTCTTCTCCAATTGGAAGATTGGTTTTTGAGGTACGAGGTTTTTGTTATTTTTAAATAGGTTGAGGGAGGGAATCTATAATTGCCAAAATGTTGTTTGATCTTTGAAGCACTTTATCTTTCTTTTGTAGCTGTACTGTGATGCATGTCCCAAAACATGTAAAAATTTCCAGGTCTTGTGCACAGGAAAAGCAGGATTTTCTCAAAGTGGCATAAGGCTGCATTACAAAGGCTCCATTTTTCATCGAGTAGTCCCGAATGGCTGGATCCAAGGAGGAGGTGACCTTAAAATCTTAACTACAACTTAACTGCAACATCATAGCAGATTGTCCAAAATTTTGTTTATCTACCTTTATGAAATGTGTATAGAATCTGATATACCTAATATTAAGTAGACATATTTATATTTTATATGGCCAGATGATGAATTAAGATATTTGCATTCTTTAAAAAAATCCCTAATTATTTTTTAAAAACACAAAAACTAAATTATGTTACTAGAAACATTCCAAATTAAAAAATGAGAGAGAGACCGGGCACGGTGGCTCAAACTTGTAATACCAGCACTTTGGGAGGCTGAGGTGAGAGAATTGCCTGAGCTCAGGGGTTTGAGACCAGCCTGGGCAACTTGGCGAGACCTCATCTCTACATAAGTCAAAAAATTAGCCAGGCATGGGAGTGTGTACCTGTAGTGCACACCAGCTACTTGGGAGATTGAGGCAGAAGGATCACCTGAGCCCAGCAAGTCGAGGCTGTAGTGGCCGTAAGGGTGCCACTGCACTCCAGCCTGGGTGACAGAGTGAGACCCCAACTCAAAAGAAAAAAAAAGAAAGATATTATATACTTACAAGTGAAAAATAATATCTAAAGGATTTTGGGTCTCCATTTTGCTTTCTTGTCAGGTCAATCCTTTGGCTTTATACGAATTTGGTGCCTGATTAACAGTACAAAATTAAATTTTGGAGGCCTTTTGAGGGATATTCTATAGGGAGCAATCAGGTAGCAATTAAAAAATAATTGGTTTAGTGTGGAAGGAGATTTGCTTAAACCTGATGGCATATACAGGAGCTTAAATTAATGCTTAGTTTTTTTGCATGATCTGGAATATTCTGAGACTGATGAGAAAAATGTAGATTTATTCCAAGCATTTTATATGTTAAAACAGCTATTTTTAACTGGGCATGGTGGCTTGTGCCTGTAGTCTCAGTTATTTAGGAAGCTGAGATGGGAGGATCACTTGAGACCAGGAGGTCAAGGCTGTGGTGGGCCAAAATAGTGAACTCCAGCCTGGGTGACAGAGACCCTGGCTTAGAAACAAACAAACAAGCAAAAAACATTACAAAAAAACCCCCCAGCTATTTTCCCCTCAGTTTTCCAAAGTGAGATATCACTTGGAAACCCAATAGGGTTACCTAGCTTCACTCTTTTTAAATTTAGAATTACATTACTATTATTTTTTAAAAATTATTTTAAAGATGTGGGGTACAATTCAGGGTCTAGTTTCACTTTTTAAAGTCTTTCCGCTTAATATGTGGTGTTTACTTTCCTATGTCAATAACATACAAAATATTGAGAACCTGCCTAATTGGTAATCATATTGCTATACCAATTACAGTAATTCCCCAATGGTGACTATTTGATGGTTTTCAGTTTTCACTTGCTTCATGCCCTCACCTGTTTCTGATTCTTGCCCAGAGTTCATCTCTGCAAGGGCTTACCTGGCCACTCCGTATAAAGCAACCATTTTCCTCTCCACACACCCCTCCTCCCCGCCTCCTGCGGTCCTCCCGACCCTTCACCCTGCTTTATTTTTCCTCATAATACTTTTCACCATTGGACATACTAGTATATATTTCTTAGTTCATTTGTTTATTGTCCGTTTTTCTTTGCTAGACTATAAAATCCATAAGGGCAGAGATTTTTTATCTATTTTATTCACTGTTGTATCCCAGGTTCTAAAATAATGCCTGGCATATAGTAAGTGCTTAATAAATATTTGTTGAGCTGGGCATGGTGGCTCATGCCTATAATCCCAGCACTTTGGGAGGCAGAGGCGAGAGGGTTGCTTGAGTCAAAGGGTTTGAGAGCAGCCTGGGCAACATTGTGAGACCTCATCTCTACAATAAATCAAAAAATTAGCCAAGTGTGGTGGCGCATGCCTGTAGACCCAGCTACTTGGAAGGCTGAGGTGGAAGGATCACCTGAGCCCAACAGGTCGAGGCTGTGGTAGCCATGAGCATGCCGCTGCACTCTAGCCTGGGTGAGAGAGACTCCAACTCAAAAAAGTATATTTTTGTTGAAAGAGTGAATGAATGAATGAACAGATGAAAAGATGGTTAAATAGGATATGTATGTTCTCTTCATTTCTAAAGTCCAAAGTTAAAGAAGATATTGAGTCATTCTGCCACTTTGGTTGGATTCCCCTCTGTGGCTCCCTCAAGGCCTTCTGCTTTCAGAACACTCATTTGAGATGTGCTATGACACACTGAATCATCATCATCATCATTCTGAGCATAGTGATGGTAAAGGTGATACTGAGAGGGAGCATTCTATGCGCATGTGATACGGTGGCAGCCACTAAGGACTGAGGGTAACGCTTTGCCAAGTGCCGCCTGAAAGGCTCCACCTACATTATTCATTGCATCCTCAGAGCTGCCTGTGAGGCATGACCTGTCCCTGTTCACACAGATGAGGAGCAGGCTTGGACAAAGTAACTTGCATCAACATTAAATCAAAACTCTCTGACTTTAAAGTTTGCTTTGAACCACTATGTAGCATCTCTGAATTTGTTGTCAGAGGTAGAGAATTAATATAAGCTATACAAGACTGAATTCAAAGGGGTGGGCTGTGGCCACAAAATAATAGTAAGTAGTGATTGAAATGGTCCAATACAGAATATTTGCACGGGAGATCTGAAGCAGAGCACAAGAGTATTTATTGCTGGTGGCTGTGGGACAGGGTATGTTTGTCAGGGAGAAGGAGATTCGCCTGAGCAAAGCTGGAACTTGGATCTGAGGAAACTGATGCTGGGGGACCCTCGACTCCCCCATTTCCAGATTTAACCTTCAGTCACCACAGCATCTTTAGCTGCCTAGGGCTGGTGGTGTTAGTGGAACCAGTATGGAGACTTAAAACCTGTCAATTAACCTCTGAACCAGCTGGACGAACAGTCTGATGGAAATGCTACCTGCCCCTTCCCGAGTAAATTCACCTGCTTGGTGTTGCATCAGTTTCCTTTAAAAAATAGCACACTCTTATTATAGGTAAATTGCTCCTGCTGAGTTGAAATGACACAGTCCTTCAACAAGTATTTATGAACACTGTGTTAAAGGAGGGAGTGGATTCAAGAACTGCAGGAAGCAGATAGGGAGGCTAAGGGGAGAAGACAGACTCAGTGGCCTCTTTTCACCAGTTAGCATCGCTTCTCCTTCAGCTGTGGATGGATGAAAAAATGACTTGTTCATGGAGTCTTTTTTACAGTGGGAGCATTGCCTGAACCAAATCATGCATGTCATGTAAACACCATAAAACCAACCAACAAACCTTGTTACATTGTAAGAAACTTGATTTTCAAAATATTGGGTAAACAAATGTTATCACTATGTGATAACTCCAGGAACAAAAACTTGAACATTAATTCTTTCTAGAGCACCTATTTTTATGATGTTCTAGAAAGAGCTCACCGTTCCTATTTCATCCTCTCAGTTGAATCCTTCCATTTTTCTGAAAAGCAAGAGCAACTATGGAATAACTTACGAAGTAAGTGGAATTTAGGAAATTGTGGCCACAGTTATAGTTTAATATTTTATCCTTTCAAAGTTTTCATGCTATAATTTAACTTACCTCAGAGAGAGGTATTATGAAGAAAAAAATGGGGTCGTGAATGTAAAAGTGCTTGCAAAATACAAATGGAATTATTATAGTATATTTATAAATATACTATATATATAAATAATTAGATAACTTACTCCAGTCACTGGTATAAGTAGAATCACAATTTAAAACCTCTTTTTATTCCCCATCACTACGGTACACTCTTTTCATCGCAAAATTCTAATTTTTATTTATTGCTGTTCTCAGATATAGTAGCTGGAAAAGGAGATAATGGAGAGTCAATTTATGGACCAACATTTGAAGGTATGTATCTTTTCATTTTGTTGGTCATATACTAGTTGATTATTCAAGCCTAACAGTACCGGATGGTTTCACAATTCTAAATAAGATATAGTTGGAAGACCGGGTGCAGTAGCTCACACCTGTCATCTCAACACTTTGGGAGACTGAGACTAGAGGACAACCTGAGCCCAGGAGTTCAAGGCCAGCCTGGGCAACATAGCGAAACCTCATTTCTACAAAAAAAAATTAGCTGGGCGTGGTGATGCATGCCTATAGTCTCAACTCCTCAGGAGACTAAGGCAGAAGGATGACCTGAGCACGGGAGGTCAAGACTGCAGTGAGCCATGATCGGGCTGCTGCACTCCAGCCTGGGTGACAGTTATCTTTGTAGTTAATACTTACAGTAAAAGTGGGGAGTTCAAAATAAGTGAAGGGAAAGCATCCTAGTCCAATCCAAAGCAGCTTTGGGTACTTTTTTCACTTGCTTGATATTATTTCTTTAGGATATATACCAGAATTAGCATTGTGGGGTCAAAGGGAATTTGCTTATTTAGAGTCTCTGCCACCCACACTGGAGTGCAGTGGCACAGTCATAGCTCACTGCAGCCTCCAACTCCTGTGCTCCAGTGATTATTTAACTAGTCAACTTTTAACTATACATGAGTTTTCTGTGGTTTTTTTGTGTCTATATTTTAATGCAATGAAAAGATTATAAAAGGATGTTTTTATTGAACCAATGGCCAAAGTTAAAGGGAAAAGTAACCTCTCAATTCCTTCTAAATTCGTGCCGCAACAGTGTTATCAAATGAAAACACACAAGTGACACCATTCACCTAGTCATTCCTAAAGGACTAAACTCCAGAGTAGGTGCCTGCATGGTGCTAAGACCTAAGGAAACAGGAGGCTTGACCTGGTTCCGACCCTGAAGGAGGTTAGTGTTTTTGTGCAGATAGATGTTTAAAGAGATAAACTCCAGGCGCGGTGCCAGCTACCATTACAGAGGAAGGAGCTGAATGCTGAATGCCGTGGGAAAGGAGAGAACAGCTTTCTGGAGAGCTGGGGGTGGCGGCACAGGACTTTTTTGGGGGGGAGGGGGTGGTCAGGGCCTTGCCCTGTAGCCCAGGCTGGAGTGCAGTGGCATGATCATGACTCACTGCAATCCTTCTGCCACAGCCTCCAGATAGCTGGAACTATAGGCATGTGCCAACATGCCCAGCTAACTTTTTTATTTTTTTTGTAGAGATGTGATCTTCCTATGTTGCCCTGGGTGGTCCTGAACTCCTGGGCTCAAACGATCCTCCAGTCTCAGCCTCCCAGAGTGCTGGGATTACAGGTGTGAACCACCATGCCCAGCCAGAGAAGCTTTTAGTTGGGTCTGCAATAAGACATTGCAGACAGGAAAAGGACTCTTTTGGGAACTTTTCTGATCTCCTTAATTCCTAATGAGAATCTGCTGGACCTCTCTCCCCACAGCCGTGATCAGATCACCCACACTCTTGGTGCTGGGAGGTGCAGTCTCGGACAGAACACGAGCCTTCTGTCCAGTAGGAGACTAATCTGTCTGCTGATCTTGACTCTCTACACACCCCTGGGCCTCCGCTGTTAGCCTTCGCTCCCATCTGTAGGCTGCTGTGGTCTTTGGCCCCCAGGGAGAGCCCTTGCTGTCTTCCCTGGTGCCCAAAGAGGCTTAGAGTATTCAGCAAAGCCTTTTTTACTCGGTTGGCCTGGCAGCACAGAATTAGAAAAAATCCAGTAAGCTGTCAGATGAACAGGAGAGGTGTTCCAGAAGGAAAGGTGAGAGAGCCTGGCTTGACCTCAGATGGCTGAATGTGGGTTTTCCTCATCCTGTTGCTCATCTGGGGAATGCTCATACAGTGGGCAGCCAGTCCTCCCTCCACATTTCTCTCATTGAATCCTGTTTCCATGAGATGCAGAATTAAAATCCAGGGCCTGTTAGAAATGACTACAACCACAAAACTCAAGGCCGGGTGCAGTGGCTTATGCCTGTAGGCGCAGCACTTTTGGGCGGCTGAGGCGAGAGGATTGCTTGAGCCCAGGAGGTCGGGGCTGTGGTGAGCTGTGACTGTGTCACTGCACTGCAGCCTGGGTAACAGAGGGAGACCCTGCCTCAAATACATACATACATACATACATAAATGAAATTTAGAACTTCATGAGATCTTGGAGAGAATTGTGGAGAGGTAGAAGAAAGAAGATGGGGTTGGAAAGATTGAGAAATTCAGAGGTGGGCAGATGGTTAAGGAATGAGTCAGAGACGTGGCCAAACTCAGGAGCTCTTCTCTTTGTTTTATAATACTTTGTACAGTTTAGTGTTAATACAGTTCAGAGTTAGCATGATTCTGTCTTTTCATGAGTTCATTTGGTCCATAGTAGGCTGGTGGTGGCATGACCACAGGGGTTTCCCCAGGCTCTGCTGTCACTGCCCAGCTGGAAGCAGCCTAGCCTCAGGGGGCCTTGAGATTCACCAACGTTCTGTACTCAGAGAGTATATGACAGAATCACTTATTTCACACTTTTTTTCCAGGTCCACACACTTTATTTTATTTTATTTTAATTTTGTTTTTGAGTTGGAGTCTCACTCTGTCGCCCAGACTGGAGTGCAGTGGCACGCTCCTGGCCACCGCAGCCTCGACCTGCTGGGCTCCAGCGATCCTTCCGCCTCAGCCTTCCAAGTAGCTGGAACTACAGGTGTATGCTACCACGCCCGGCTAATTTTTTTAATTTATTGTAGAGATGAGGTCTCACCAAGTTGCCCAGGCAGGGTCATGAATCCGCAGGCTCAGGCAATTCACTCACCTCGGCCTCCCAAAGCACGGGATTACGGGCTGAGCCACCAAGTCCGGCCCACACAGTTTAAATTTGTAAGTCTAGGACTACCTGCACCTCTGAAAAATCTACTTTCTTCTGTCCCTGTGTAGCTGTGGTTTTCAAATTGCCTCTAAGGATTCCCATGGGCTCCTGAATAAGTATGTTCAGGAGAAGAGAGGGCTCCAGGCCTTTTGAAAATTCTGTTTTCTTTTTTTCTTTTTTTTTTTTTGAGTTGGAGTCTCACTCTGTCACCCAGACTGGAGTGCAGTGGCCGCTCCCGGCCACCGCAGCCTCGGCCTGCTGGGCTCCAGTGATCCTTCCGCCTCAGCCTTCCAAGTAGCTGGAACTACAGGCGTGCGCTACCACACCCAGCTAATTTTTGATTTATTGTAGAGATGAGGTCTCGCCAAGTTGCCCAGGCGGGTCTCGAACCCGTGGGCTCAGGCAATCCACTCACAGCCTTCCAAAGGCACGGGATTACAGGCTGAGCCACCTAGCCCGGCTAAAATTCTGTTTTCTACATGGGCTTTCACACAGGTAGCATCTTTTTGTATACTATTATGATTAACTACTTTAAAGTTATTCCATAACCAGGCTAGACATGTTGGCTCATGCCTGTGATCCCAGCACTTGGGGAGGCCGAGGCGGGAGGACTGCTTGAGCCCAGGAGTTTAAGAGACCAGTCTAGGCAACATAGCTAGACCTCACCTCTACAAAAAACAAAAAAATTAGCTGGGTGTGGTGGTGCACACCTGTAGTCCCAACTACTTGGGAGACAGGTGGAAAGATTACCTGAGCCTAGGAGGTTGAGGCTGTGGTGAGCCATGATCATGCCATTGCACTCCAGCCTGGGTGACAGAGTGAGACCCTGACTTGGGGAGAAAAAAAAAAGAGAGAGAGAGAGAGAGAAATGTTATAGCTCTATAGATTTTTCTTTCCAAATTTTTATGGAATTTAAGAAAAATACATCATAATATCTAAAAGCAATGCAAATACCTCTTTGTTAAAACTCTCTGGGCCACTGCTTTGTTAAATTCTGATGTGTCCACATGACTCTTTGAGCTATGGCTGCCTCCCCTACCTTGGTGAGGTGAATCTCTCTCTCTCTCTCTCCCTCTCTAATTTACTTTATAAAGAAACTATATTTTTCAATCTAAAAAAAAAAAAACAAAAACAAAACTCTCTGGATCTTTGCTTTGGGCAGATTTCCCAATGCGATTTTATGTAAAATTAATGGGTATTTCTGTATTCCACGGAAGTAAATCTGAAGCATCAGTGTAATTATATAGACTCATTTGTACAAAAATCCTTATTTGCATTTCATAAGATTTCAGAGGTCTTTCTTCAGTTGGTAATTTAACAAACTAGCAGTAACCACCACAGATACGGTTTAATTGCTTCGTTTGCTTAATGCTGAAACTTAGTAAGAATCATCTGAATGCAGTTCATGCCTGTAATCCCAGCACTTTGGGTGACTGCGGTAGGAGAATTGCTTGAGCCCAGGAGTTCAAAACCTGCCTGGGCAACATAGTGATAGCTCACCTCTATAAAAACATTAAAAAAATTAGCCATGCATGATGGCATGCCCTTCTAGTCCCAGCTTCTCAGGAGGCTGAGGCAGGAGGATCATTTGAACCCAGAAGTTCAAGGCTGCAGTGAGCCATGATTGTATCATTGCCCTCCAGTCTATGCTACATAATGAGACCCTGACTCAAAAATAATAAGAATAGTTGACAATTGCCATTTAATAAAATCTATGGACAGTTAATATTTATATTTCTCAAATATTTCCAGAACTTTATAAAGTTAATGAGTGACAACTTTTATTGAATTTCTCATCCATTACTTCCTTCTTAGTCTCTAAACTTGGAGGCAAAGCTGGGAATGATACTTCCTGAAAATGGTATCCTGATCATCATCATACCATTCTTTTTACTTGTTAATTTTACACTAAAAAAACTATCACTCACCATATAGGGTTGGAGATTAAAATTTATTTATTTATTTTATTATTATTATTTTTTTTGAGTTGGAGTCTCATTGTCACCCAGACTAGAGTGCAGTGGCCACTCCCGGCCACTGCAGCCTTGACCTGCTGGGCTCCGGCGATCCTTCCGCCTCAGCCTTCCAAGTAGCTGGAACTACAGGCGCACGCTACCACACCCAGCTAATTTTTTTTGATTTATTGTAGAGATGAGGTCTTGCTGCCCAGGGGGGTCTTGAACCCGCGGGTTCAGGCAATCCACTCACCTCAGCCTCCCAAAGGCGCAGGATTACAGGCTGAGCCACCGTGCCCGGCGATTAAAATTGATTTTAAGAGTACTAAGAATGAGCACAAATTTTTTTTTTCATCATTGACATTTAAAAAATGCATGGAATGGAAAAATTGCATGAGATGGAAATCTGCCCAGACATTTAGGGCCACACCCCTGCCAGTTAATGTGCCAGGAGGCCTGGAGCTAAGGATGCAAGGAGACAAGTTTCCTGTGTTCACATACTCTAGAGGAAATTGTGTAAATCACCAATTACATAGGGTGTTATAAAGACTGTCCTAGAACTGTGTGTAAGATGCTTGGGTCAGGGGTAGGGTCAGGTCGAAAAAAGGTTTCTCAAAGGAGATGCTTTTACTGACCACATCGGGAATGCAAATGAAAGTCCACTGCCAAAACAGCTCAAGGAAGCGTCCTGACCTTGATGCCTAAGCAAAGTACTGTATCTACTTCCTTTTACATTATTAATTTTCTTAACACACATGTTTATGGTAAAGATAAACTAAAGCTAAATGTTCAAATAGTTCTAAAGATCTTACAGCGTACCTTTTTGTAACAGCCCTTTGGATGTTTGAAAGTAATATGAAACAAACAAAATACTTGCAGTTTGAAACGTATTGATGAACATGACTGTGATGGTTACTTAGGGTTCTATTTGTTCCTTACGTGTTTCAGTCAACTGAGATAATAAAAACTTTCTAATGAACCACTGATTATTGTCTTTTCTAGATGAAAACTTTTCAATTCCTCATAATAAAAGAGGGGTTCTTGGAATGGCCAACAAAGGCCGTCACAGCAATGGGTCACAATTCTATATTACACTGCAAGCAGCTCCCTATCTGGATAGAAAATACGTGGCTTTTGGGTATGTGCATTGTGGGTTTGTCATATACTATTCACACATGTGAAAATGTCATTTAAAAAGATTTGAATAAGTATTGTACACAGTCTGTGGGTAGCTAAAATAAGGCTTACAAGCAAAAATAATACAAATATAGACAAAAGTATTTAGAAATAAGTATTTTGTAAGACGTTTGCTATCTGTAAAAACAGAAACTATCAGGTACAACCATGGTTATGCTTGGTCTATGTCTCTAACATACACTGTTTCTCCATTCATCCATCTCTCTCCTGTCTCAATGATATCAGTTCTTAATCACTATGAATCATAGAGCTTAACAATGTCGATATATGTATACACAGAAGTGAGTGGTAAGCCCGTTTAACTAATTGTCCATGGACATCATGAAGAAGTAGATGAAAACTGTTCAAGTTACCTGGAACATTTTTGACTGAACAATTTAAAATATGAAAGCATCTCAGATACTGATTAGTATGAGAATGTTATTAGCAAAATGCTTTTAGGGTAATGGAGGTATTTTTCACTGCTCCAGGATTTCCCTGTCTCCCTTTAATTACCAACTTGAGGATGAAGTGGAATTTACTTTATCTTCCCTGGAATGATGCAAAGTGCTAGAGACTTTCTGAATTCTAGCCACTTCGTAGAGATAATTAGTGACTTTTCAGTTTCTGAAGGAACTTCATGCCAGTATTCATTTTAACTATATAGTTTCTTCAGTGTAAAACTTCCTGTAATATTTTCAGGTTGAAAAACAGAAAGTGTATTTTCATCCAAAAGGTATCTTTAAAAAGATGACTTTACAGTCATAGATGCATAACCTAAAATAATGAGTTGGCATCAGTGTTCCCTGGTCTAAATAACTGTGTTCTGATTTTTAAAATTTTATTGTTAATTTTTTGGTAGAGATAGTGTTTCACAATATTGCCCAGGCTGGTCTCGAACCCCTCAGGAACCCCTCAGGCAACCCTCCCACCTTGGCCTCCCAAAGTGCTGGGCTTATAGCCATGAGTTACTGTGCCTGGCCTATATTCTGATTTAGAAAATGTATTCTTGCATTGGTTTTAAATCCAGATAGCCCTCACCATTTCTTGAATCATTTCTTTCTGCCATTTGCTGACAGTCTCTCCATAGTCTGCCAACTGCTTAGTGATCTTTTATGTCTCAGCTAAATGTTCCTTTCTCAAACACAGACGTGACGGCTTTAAAACTTTCAGTGCCTCCGTCACCACCTCCACATGTGCAGAACCCAAGTCTAGAGCAGCAGCCCAGGTCCTCCACCCTCTAGAGCTCCCTGTCACCCAGACTAGAGCACAGTGGTGCAATCGTAGTTCGCTGCGGCCTTGACCTCTTGGGCTCAGGTGATCCTTCCACCTCAGCCTCCGGAGAAGCTGAGACTACAGCACGTGCCACCATGCCTAGCTAACTTTAAAATTTTTTTTTTGTACAGATGCAGTCTCATTCTGTTGCCCAGGCTGGTCTGGAATTCCCAGGCTCAAGAGATTCTCCCATCTCAGCCTCTCAAGGTGCTGGGATTACAGGCATGAGCCACCATGCCCAGACTCTACATCTTTTTTCAGCACTTCTGCTGTCTTCCCTACACAAGCAACTATGACTTTTTTTTTTTTTTTTTTTTTGAGTAGAAGTCTCACTCTGTTGCCAAGGCTGGAATGCAGTGGCATGATCACGGCCACCGCAGCCTCGACCTGCTGGGCTTAGGTGATCCTTCCACCTCAGCCTTCCAAGTAGGAGGAACTACAGGCATGCACACCATGCCTGGCTGTTTTTTATTTATCTATTTATTTATTTTTATTGTAGAGACAAGGTCTCACCAAGTTGCCCAGGCTGGTCCCGAAACCCTGGACTCAGGTGATCCTCTCACCTCTGCCTCTCACACTGCTAGGATTACAGGCATAAGCCATTGCGTCTGGTGCAACCAGGATTTTATTAGGCACCTGCAGTATGCCAGTCTGAGACTCAACACTGGGTAAAGAGTGCCACAGCAGGTAATCAGCAACTGTAGGATAATGAGACATGGGCGGGAAAATTCTGTAGAGGGTGCACTGGAAATATGGGTGGCAGCAGTAAGAACACACCCTCAGCCCCTTTCATCCAAGTGAACGCAGAGCCTACCAGGCCTCAGCGAGTGGGCAGGTGCCTGGTTTCCTATTAATGATGCCTGCTCTCTGTGACTCACCTTCCTCTTGGGGCAGTCTCTAATTTTTGTTGTCATCACCACTCTGGCTTCGGGTAGGCACTGCACCCTTTCCTTGTTCTGGCCCACGTAGGATCTCAATTCATTCCTTAAATCTCCAGAGTAAAAAAAAAAAAAAGTCTCAAAAATCACAGTTGAGGCTGAGCTGAAATATTTAAATAAGACCTTACATAATCCAAAGGGAAAAACAGAAGGGCAAGAACACAGTCTGCTGCAGATAATCTGATGAAATCTGGTGAAGCAGAGCTCCCACGGGATGCCTCCTTTCCAGGGTGGGGCTCTCTCTTCCCTGTCATCTCTTAGCATCTGTCCCCAGGTGTGTCTGAGCTTCTAGAAGCCCAGTGGTTAACAAGGTCCAGAGAGATACAGAAATTTCTCTGATCTGAGACAGGCCATCCCTTTAAGCTCTAAGTTCTGGCACATAGACTTGCCCTTTAGGAAAGACTGTTGCAATCCACAGAGCTTGGCCCGCTCAGTGGTCTCTTAGGGGAAGGATATCACATCTAACCCATAAGATCTCCATTCATGCCTACACGTGGGAGGAGGAGGGTATGCGCTGGGACAGTGGTGCAGGGATTGATTGCATTTTGAGGTATCTGTACATTTGGAAAGCTTTATGGGAAGGTGAACTGCTTAGTGAAAGTCAAGTGGAGGCTGGGCATGTGGGCTCACGCCTGTAATCCCAGCACTTTGGGAGGTTGAGGTGGGAGGATTGCTTGAGCCCAGAAGTTTGAGACCAGTCTGGGTAACATAGTGAGATCTCGTCACCACAAAAGTCAAAAAATTGACTGTGCTTAGTGGAACACACCTGTAGTCCCAGCTGCCCGGGAGGCTAAGGTGGGAGGATCACCTGAGCCCAGAAGTTGGAGGGCTGTGGTGAGCCATGATTGTGCCACTGCTCTCCAGCCTGGGTGACAGAGTGAGACCCCGACTTAAAAAAAAAAAAAAAAGAAAAAATCAAGTCAAGTAGAAGTTAGCCAGATAGAGAAGACTGGAAGTTACAGTCAGTCGACTCATTTTTAGGGAGAGTAAAGAGTTTTTGCAGGAGGATTTAAAGAGAGACAGCGCATCTTCGCTACAAGTCATCTGGTCTGGCCAGTGCCCTGGGGAAAATGGAGAGAGTAGAGACTGTCAAAGGGGACCATCAGTGTCAAGTTCCCAGCAGGCTGTGGGTGCTCTCCTGCTGAGCACAGGCCTTACCCAAAGGTGATGGGGAGCCACAGGAGAGTTTTAAATTGTGAGCAACACGACCAGTTTCTCATTTTGAAAAACGTCTGTTTAGCAGAAGTGAGGAACGAATTGGTGAAGGACAAAATGGAAGTGGTGAGGCCACTTAAGAAGCCATGGTCAGCCGGCTCGGTGGCTCAGCCTGTAATCCCGCGCCTTTGGGAGGCTGAGGTGAGTGGATTGCCTGAGCCC